GGGCGGTAATGCTCAGAAATTCAGCGGGAGCGGGCTTAAGAAAACTGTCCCACTCAGGTCTCTAGGCTGCGCGTCAACACACACGTTTTTTTTTCGGGCTCCCCCATCTCCACCCCCAATCATTAGTGCCGCTTGTTCGGTCTTTGACAGAACATATAGGACAATTTTTAAATGGCGCCATAAACAAAATTTATTTCAAATTTAATTCAAGAACTTTCAAGGACCTATGTTTGTTTTCAAGTACTTTCCAGGCCTTGAATTCATATGTCTGAAATTCAAGTACTTTCAAGAAGCGTGGGAACCCTGATAATTTAATACAACGGACTTTCATTTTATGGAGAATAAAACTGAGACCATTCATCTTCTTTTGTGCTCGACAGAAGAAAGAAATGCACATAAGTTTGATTCTTGATTGCTTTTTTCCAAATTTCTGCACAATCTTGTTCTCAAATATTTTGACCCTCAATGACCCCACCATATAATGGAGAGAGATTACAATGGAAACGAGACGTCATAACAACAACCTGGAGCAATGACTGAATCTAGCTTGGGGTGTGAGTGCACAGAAAACAGTGCGTAAGTGCTGAATAAAGTTCTCTTTTGTGCTTGAACAGATTAAAATCATTTGAATGCTTATACTGACAAGACTTAAAAAACACTGGCATTAACTTCCGTGACAAGTCAAAAATAAAGTTTTCGAAAAGAATTGCAGGAATTGTGCCACTCGTCTTTTCTCCCTCTTTCTCAATTTTTAAGCCTTATCTAATAGTGTAAAACGTAATGTCTACCTGTTGTGTTAATTTATACTGGACATAAAAAAATATATAAAAAAAGATTTTATACATCTATTAAATATCTTCCTAAATGTTAATCTGCTGGCATGATGTTCTTTCCTAACTAGCAATGAGCTTCATTAGCTTAAAATGTCCACCCTGTTTAACTGCATTATAAAAATGTCATGTAACAGGGTGGACAATTTTCCAAGAATGTGAAATATTTGGTCAGGATTATTAGGTCATACTAGCCTGAGCTTGATGACATCATGTATACAATACTCCAAACACTCCCACAGCAGCGAGCTCTCTATGGTCATTGTCTCTTTCATGGGCTTTCTCAAAATTAATTTTGCAAAATGGCAATGCAATATGTAAAATTGCAATGTATTTCTGTATTAAATGTACATTTTCCTATATATATGTACAACATTTAGTGCAAAATGAAAATGAAAATTCAATTATATAATTTACACTTGCTATTTCCTACACTAGTTTTAATATGTAAATCAAAAACATATTTTAATGGTTTATAAGTAGCAAAATTAAAATGTACTACCCAAATTGATGAGATTGTTTAATGTGTCCAAGCAAAAACTGTAGCAAAATTATTCTTAAAATGCTGTTTTTCCTAGATGCATTTAGACTTACGTGTAGGACACTTGGGATTACATTTCCATCATAATACCGCCTGATAATTTTAGCATAATGCAGAGAGAATTTCAAAACGCATTCTGAGCCAAAGTTGCAGCAAAAGGGTAGCAAAATGCTGATTTAAATTTTTCTTTTCTTTTTCTTAAATGCACTGACACTTAAGACGTTTAAATTGGATTTTCATTAAATACCCATGATACATGTAGTTTAAGTCAATCGTTACATCAAGGTGGGGCTCGGCAACAGGACGCACAATAGGTCAATATTTACCATGAACCAAACGCTTTTCACCTGCCTCAAGATCTCTTACTGCCTACACTACGATTGATGCATGAGATCAAACAGACAGTGCAATTCTACACTTATTTACCTATTTGCCACCATACCTTATATTTTTAATTCTTCTCTTTTAATCCATAATAGATCGCGCGTCCCGAGGCACCTAAAGCATCGCGCCTGCCTCAACATCTCACTGTTTGCACGCCGAGTGATTCAGGTAAGCAAATAGTGTACTTCTACATTTAATTACCACCTTACCTTATATTTAATTCCTCTCTTTTAATCCGTAATATAGCGCGTGTTCCATGGCACCTAAATGTCACGCGCCTGCCACAAGATCTCGCACTGTTTTCAGCCACCGGACACTGCGATTGATGCCCGTGATTTTGAAGTTATTTCACCTTGGCTGTGGCATGTTCTGTGACAGCTGCTCCTAGATCTGACTGGTTAAGTGCCATCTGGGGCAAGCAGAGTAGCAGTAGCACAATTTTCTGTATGGTCACATGCATCAATTGGAGTGTAAACAATGAGAAATCTTGAGGCATGCGCAACGCTTAGGTGCCACGTGACGTGCGCTCCATTATGGGATAGAAGAGAGGAATTTATTCCTGTGATCAAAGCTAAATTTTCAGTATCATTACTCCAGTCTTCAGTGTCACATGATCCTTCAGAAATCATTCTAATATGCTTTTCAAGAAAACATTTTTAGGGCATTGTTTTTGTATTGTTGATTGTTGTATTGGAGTAATGATGCTAAAAATTCAGCTTTGAAATCACAGGAATAAATTACATTTTAAAATATATACAAATAGACAGCAGTTATTTAAAATAGTAAAAATACTTCACAATATTACTGCTTTTGCTGTATTTTGGGTCAAATAAATTCAGGCTTGGTGAGCAGAAGAGAATTCTTTAAAAATCTTACTGTTCAAAAACTTTTGATTGGTAGTGTATAAAGCGTTAAAATGTTTTTAATTTGCATATGATCAATTTGCACTAAACGTTGCACATATGTTTGGGAAAATGAAATTTAAATACAGAAATACATTGCCATTTTACATATTGCATTGCCATTTTGCATATTATATTTCAAAATTAATTTTTCATAACTACATAAATCTAGCAGTTTATTGACAGTGTTCTAACCTGAGTTGACCCAAGTTATAGTGTTGTGTTGCTCCATCTGTGGAGCGTGTGACACAGAGAGAGAAGAACGGCTGTAACTGTCTGAGCTCCAGCAGCACGATGGCCAGGTAGTGGATAAAGAGCAGAGCGTCCACTAGTGAAACTGCATACTGCACAATCCCTTGGTAGTCCTCATCCTGGAACAGATAGAGAGACTGTCAGTGACTGTTTCATAAAGTAGGGTAATATGAGAATTAGCTGGTACATAACATTACTGGAAATGTTAACATGTTGCTATTTTAAAGTAACAAAGTAGAGGGAATTGGGACTAGTACTCACACAGAGATGTTTTTGGAGAATGGGCCATGCTAATTAGCTTAATATTTTTAGTGTTGGTGCAGTTAAGCCCAAAGTACACTTCTGTTTTACATGTAAAAGCAGCTACACTGCTTGTCTTTTTTCAGTCAGCCACATATTTTAACTGTAGGTGATTTTATTATTATTTAAACCTCCACATCTTCTCATATTTAAAGTTCATCCCTGACTGAGATTTATATCAAAGTTTAAAGTAATGGAGCAACAGGATTAAAGATAATATATCTAAAGTGCAATTTAAATCCAGGTTAAAAATGACCTCGATTTAATCTAAATTTAAGCTTAATCCTCATTACTGCAACTGACCCTTAGTCACAAATATGACTCCGAAGTTAGTGTTAGAGTTAGTCTGTTTTGGACACCACTGACTTTGTATGGACAAAATAGCTGAATTAAAACATTCTTCAAAATATCTTACTTTTTGTTGTGCAGAAGAATATAAAGGTTTCATAAAGGTTTGAATGACAGGAGGATGAGTAAATGATTACAGAATTTTCATTTTTTGGAATAAGGCAAGTAGGCACACCATTAGCCTCACCTGTGAGTCCAGGATGCGTACTCCATAAAACAACCAATAGGAAAGCACAAACAATAGCACCAATGTGGCTAGTAAGGCTCGAAAGACGAAGATTCTTGGCAAACCAGCCCTGGGTGGCCTGAAGAATAGAGCCCACACTGCCAACAATAAAATCAGCAGTTTAAATGCCACAGATATAAAGAGACCTTCACAGGCCGTTCCACAGGCTGTCAGTCTATCAGCCCAGAGGAGGTGAGGCAGGATAAGGAAGGCAAGTGGAGTAAGAAAAACCACAAGTCCCAGGATGACAGACAGAGCCACATTTAGATAATGTTTGCAGTCCAAGCCCACGCTGTCGTCGAGGGATTTGCTGATGCGAACAATGTCCTCCTGAGATAGAGAGTGTTCTGAGGTGCCAGTGACAGCTGTCGTAGTCTCACCCCAGTTATCATCCTGGAAAGAAAGAGGGATGAGGGCACGGGGAAATAGAGAGAGATTAGACTCAAGTCAAGTGCATAGTTCAGCATCATTAGCGCATAAGGAGGGGGTAACCAATAGGACGTGACAGATTTGAGCAAGAGAGATTAATAAACAAGGTGAATCCTCCTTCAACTATTGGCACTTTTGGCCTTGTGGACTTTAGGTACATTTGCCCAAAATACCATTTCCACACTTGCATGTCATCCCTGTTGAATAAACCAGCATATGTTGGTTAGGTATGTTTTGAAACATGGCTGCTGGTTTGCGGTGGTTTAAGCTGGTCCTTAGCTGACCATAAACTGTTTTAAGCTGGACATGTGCTGGTCCTAAGCTGGTCCTGAGCAGGAGCTAGTTGTTTAGGACTAGGGCTGCACGATAAATCGAAAGCACGTGATGGAGATTTACAACTAATCACAGAACCGGCTTTTTACTGACGAGATGCGCATGACAAGCGCATGCGATTTATCATGCAACAGCTTAGGACCAGCACATGACCAGCTCAGGACCATCTTAAACAGCTCAAGACCAGCTTAAACCAGCTCAAACCAGCAACCATGCTTCAAAACATACCTAACCAGCATATGCTGTTTTTTTCAACAGGGATGGAAACGATGGCTATGGAATTTTTGGAACAAAAAGGCAACTGTTTCTGTCTTGCCAAGGCTAATAAAGAATTAATGTTTTCTGATTTTGGACAAGAAAAATATAATAAAGAAAAATTAATGATGAAAACATTGTAAAAAGTTTCCAAGTCATTTTAATGTACTCTTTATATAGGAAAATGATAAGTTAATAAAAATCTACCTCTGGGGCATAAAAAGTGTCCCAAGTTGAAGAGACTCCGATGTATTGATTTACTTTGTTCTTGCAGCAATCCTTAACCATAACATAGTCTGTTTTAGTCAGTTTTAAGCTGTACAGGAAGCCAAACGCTCAAGCACTATGAGCACTGCAATACTGAGCTGGGGAGTGTATCCTGTACAACGTCGTAACACTCTGCTTAAACCACTGTGATGATGCACTGCTGGACAAATTATCTGGACAAGACTGTTTCCCGAAATCATAGTAACATGGTCACAATATTTAAACCCACTGAACTGGTTCCGCCAATAGTAAAGCAACATAAAGTAGTGTTGCAGTGATCTTCAGGATTACCAGAAACTTCCAAGCAAGTGTGTTGGAGCTAAATTCTTCAAGAGATGTAGTCCTCCAGGAGAAGGACTGGACACCCCTGTCTTTGAGTTTTTGTGTGTATCTGACAATAATTTACTCAAGTGAAATGGTGAAATGCTGGTGAAGTGACTCTCACAGCAGCTCTGGAGATGAAGTTCATGTGTTCATGCCCTCATATAGTGAGATGACAGACGAGCGTCACACATGCTTGATACTGAGACACACACAACATGCTTCAAATTTACGTAGCAGTAATTTGTGCTTCAATATTCACGGATACTAGTTCATATTGGGATTTAAATTTGATTAATTGTACTTTTAATTTATTAATGCAAAATTTGCTGCATTCTTTGACATTTAAAAGATATCATCAAATCAAACAAAAAAGATAAAAGCACTATAATCAAACTGCTTCTAGAAGCAAAAACATTGACATAAATGTCATAAACAGAATCGTGTTCTAGCTTAGCTACTGGATCATAGCTTTGTTTACTTTTCCTCCTTGCTGAGTATAATATAAACAGCCTACATTTATGAGATCACATCAGCACACGCTGAACCCAGAAAGAGTCACTGAAGCATTCAGCGCCTCAGGCTAAAGTGATAGCGGTGTGGTGAATAGAGGAGTGCAAGGGAAACTGAGAATGGTTGTCTGTGTATTCAAATATGCTCAGACAGAGAGATCTGAAATTAGCATGTTGGATTAAATAGTCTGAGGAGAGCAATGTAATTCAGAATTAATGATATAAAATTAATTATCTGTGAATACGTAGGACAAGAGGTTTGGATGGATGTGATGGAAAATCCATGGCTGTCAGGTAAGGCAGCAGACACATGACTGTTAACCAATTACAAGGACTTTATGAAAGGTTTTGTAGAATGCATAGGTGAGTAACAGAATAACAAAGAGTAGAATACAGTAAAAACAAACAATAAATAAGTCAACACCTTATTGAACAGCTAATCAATTTAGCTTTATTATCTTTCTATAATCATTTAATGTATTATCTGTTTATCTATTATAGATCTTAACTATTTTAAAAAGATGTGTAAGGGAGCATTTCTAACAGTACAAGGAAGTGCATTCCATAGCCTGATATAAATTTGATGAGCTGATGTAAATGTAGGTATCATCAGCAGAAAAGTGATACCCTAAATCATATTTCTTAACAATTTGCCCTAGGAAGCATAAAAATAATAAAAAGCACAAGACAGATCCCTGAGGGACACTATGGCAGATCTGTTTTCCAGGACAACAAACTGGGAAGTGCTGTGGACGGACTCTTTTGACGAGAGATGCAGGAATTTATTTGGTGCATCGCTCACAGTACATGGGTATTTCCTTAGCCGTTGAGTGTACATTGGTTATATACTCATTATTGAGATGGATGGTGGGATTAAATGAGTGCACTCGATAATAGATAGAGCAGGATGTATAAAGCAGGATTCCATAAAGGGATGAAGTGATATGGAAAGATGAGATATGGGGAGGGAGAAAGAGTGCCAGGCTTGAGACATTTGAGATAAAATGTGTATTAATATAACATCTATAACTAGAGTACTGTAACATGAAGAGGAAACTATATAGTGCGTCTGGGGTTGAGAGACACATTAACATGGTTTCCACAAGAACTGCAGAGTATCCCGACTAGACCACTGGGAGCATATGGACTGAGAGCATTAAAGTTTGTAGAACAATATTTTAGTTTTGGCCTGCAGGCCAAGATTTTCAAAGACCCTTTTTCACAGTCAGTTTTATTTCAATATCAATGTTGACTTTTAAGGATATATATATC